ACAGCCGTCTCCTGGCCATATATTCCCCGCTCGTCACCTCACGGTCGAGTGAGGCGGCGCGTCATCAATGAATTACTGACATGGTTGTCTCGGGACGATAATAGGCATTGGAGGAGGAGGAACATATTAATACATTAGGAAGCTGCAGAAGGCCTATCGTTATCTTCGGCGCGGCTACTGTTTATATCCACCAAAACTCATGTATACATATGTCTCTCTTCTGCTTGAAAGACGCCCGTAATCTAAGGTCTATAATGGTACCTGATATTTGGTATCGCACTTCATATTCTGTATTCCCATACTAGTATTACCCAGGTACTTTGTGTATTTAAACTTATCTTGTCCATATGATTCATTGTTTCGTGTTCTATTTTGTTCTATTGTTCTATTGTTTTGTTCTATTTAACACCTTTATAATATCTCCTTTGTTATACGCTGTTGTCCATCTGAATACTTCAGTCACGTCACCTTAATCTTTGCCCTTTGAAAAGAAAGGTTTTTAAATCTCTGGTAATATGAAAGGTTTCTAATTCCTGGGATGAACTTTGTCATGGAATAATAATGAGCCTAAACGGTTGAACATGGGAGTTAAGCATCTCAAGCATTAAGTAATGATACAAACATCGGGCGAGAAATAAACAGTGAAGATTGAAAAAGATGTAAAAAGGCTTTTGAAATAGTCAAAAGATTGGCAGATGCCGTTCAATAGTGACAAATGTAAGCTTAGTTTTGAGGCTAGGTAATGATGATAGTTATATTATAGTTAAAAGATATCAGCCGGATGGTGTTGAGATTGCAAAGTTTGATTGCGAAAGTACATAAGAACGAAAGTAACTGCAGAAGGCCTATTGGTCCATTCGAGGCAGCGCCTATTTATAACCACCCAATCCCACTCATATACATGTCCAACCCTCGTTTGAAACAATCGAGGGACCCCCACCTCCACCCCGTGGGGTAATTTGCGTTTGCGTTTGTGCTTTCGTGAATCTGGCCCCAGGCTTGAAACTCTGAGACTGGAGACGGGTTTGCTCTCTCTTCAAGAAAGAATATCACAAAGAACAGCTACAATTATCAGTAAGATAATTATTTCTCCTGATCCAATCCCAGTACGGCAGGCCTTGGTGGTTGGACTTGGCCAAAACAATGGAAACTCTTGGGCTGCAAGAGCAGGAAAAGTCCTAAACAGAATACATTTAATAAGCATGATTCTTGATAGAGAGGGTGATCAACCACACCCAAATTACACTTCTTCCGCGCCGTGGGAAGAGCCTACCTTCAAAATAGTAATAGAAAATCTCCCAATGAAAAAGGCTGGTTATGATCGGACAATCCTAAGGAGCATAATAGAAGAGCAAATGTATAGCATAGCAGTAGCAGGAGCCACCCACATCTTCACAGACGGATCGGTTGACACAGAATATGAGAGTGCTGGCGCTGCTCTTTGCACGACCAGCGTTCAGGCATATTGGAGACTGGGAGGACTAGTATCATCAACCCAAACTGAGCTGTTTGCCATACAACAGGCATTCGCATATGTGATTGCACAAAACACTCAAAATGCAATCATACACACAGACTCAAAAGCTGCACTTCAAATACTAGGACAAAAACAGTGGAAAGATAATGTGGAAATAATTACCACCATTTTGTATCAAGGAGCAGTCGCTAAAGGCAAAGGACTCAACATAACTTTAAACTGGATCCCATCCCATATTGGAATCCCATTAAATGAAAAAGCTGATGAAATTGCTAAATTGGCAACTCGTCATCCAGTGATACATAAAACAATTCAACCCAGCCTAGAGAACATAAAAAACATCATCACCAAAAAACTCTCACATCTCAACAAAGCCTACCTACACCAGAGAATAGCTGAAGGTTCGCCATCTGCAACATGGTATCTTCAGGCAACCAAATTAGAAGGGTTAAATATCCCAAAAGGAATCCACAGGGAAATAGCAGTTAGGTTATATAGACTACGTCTAGGTTACAGATGCAACTGGGAGATTGGTGAACCCCGACAGAGAGAGTGCATCTTCTGCCAAACTGTCACGGAAAAGCTATTACTTCACTATCTTCTGGAATGTGAAGCAACCAACGACCTTAGAAGAGCTTTAAGAGTTCCTGAATCATGCAGTGGCCACCCTGAAGCCATCAACACAGCCACTCTCCTGGTCAACAAAGGTGTCCAGCAGCTGGACACCCTCTTAAAGACTGTCAAGCAGTATCCTCCCCAAGATAACAGGTTGACGATTAAATGCGACCTCAGAATACTGAAAAGAATTACTGATTGATGAAGATTAAGCCACCCAAAAGGTGGCACGGGCATGAATAGCCCGTAAGTGGTGGCCCTTTTGAGCCATTATCAGTATCAAGAGATGATACTGGAGATCTGTGGCGGTGCGACTGCACCCTGCGTGACGGGAGATGTCTCCCGTAAAGAATTACTGAACAACAACAAAAATTGTACCACTTACGGGCTATTCATGCCCGTGCCACCTCTTGGGTGGCTTAATCTTTATCAATCAATCAATCTTACAACTTATCCCAGAAACTCAATCCCCAATGCTCTGTAAGTTCAATTACAGCCTCATTATCTCAATTATAGTATTTCTATGAGCATCCTAATGTTAGTCTCATGGTTTTCTTTTGTACCTCTTCAAGTTTGTTTAGTCTACCTTGGCCGAAACATTGAAGTGAGAGGGGCACTTGTACCCCTCTTATCTAACTCTCAAGGGTATATCCAATAGAACATCAGAACATGAGAATGAAGGTATTACCATTACCTCTTTTACCATGTCGTAGCTCAGTCGATTAAGGCAGCGTCTGGGATGCTCACAGACGTAGGTTCGAATCCTCATCACGGCCCTTGTGGATTTGTTCATGAGAATGAAGGTAATTGCCTTTTGGTCCATACGAGGCAACTCCTATTTATATCCACCCAATCTTATTCATATATATGTCTAACCTACGCTTGAAACATTCAAGGGATCCTACTTCTATTATATCCACTTTGTTATGTCCGTTCATCCACTTGTACACCTCTATCATGTCACAAGTAAATTTTGGATACTTCGTTAAGATTCCTGGCAGCACATTATTGTGAGTGAAGCACTTAAACACCAAACAAATTTATTAGGCCGAATAATAATGACCAGAAATGGAAAGCAATAGATGTGAAGGCGAAGAAACGTCGTCGTCCCTTCAACTTCTAGTGTGTGGTCTGGTCAACAATAGATGTGAAGAATCTTATAGTTAAAAATAGAGCTTAGTACAAAAGGATTAAGAATGGGAAAGTCAATCTTGAACAAGAATTCGTCCAAGTGGTTAGAAATATTAAAAAAAAAGAGATAACGAGGGCACAATGAAACTATGAAGTTCGCATAGCAGGGCAAGCAAAGACAAATCCTAATCGTTTTTTTTCAGATATAGAACAAAGATTAAGGGAAAGGATAGATCCATTAAAAACTGAGACAGGTCAGATACCTGATTATGACGAAGAGATGAATAGCATTTTAAATCAATATTTTATTTAAATTTAGTAAAGAAGAACTTAATCATGAACAAATCCGCAAGGGCCGTGACGAGGATTCGAACCTGCGTCTGAGAACATCCCAGAAGCTGCCTTAATCGACTGAGATAAGACATGGTCAAAAGAATTTCAACCGGGAAATCATTCTGATTTACCGACGGATCCTGCAGTCTCTCCGAGACACAAACCAATTTTACGTTTGGTTTGTTTTACGCAATTTCTTTTGACCATGTCGTAGCTCAGTCGATTAAGGCAGCGTCTAGGATGCTCTCAGACGTAGGTTCGAATCCTCGTCACGGCCCTTGTGGAGTTGTTCATTTGATACATCACGTTATTGTGATTTCTGTGTGTAACTTACCATTATGTGTTCAGCTGAACAAGTCTATATTGGTGGGAAGAAGACAGGTTGACTAGTTTAGTAGTTACCAGGGTGGATGTTATTAAACAAATGGTACAACTCAAGCCTGGTATTACTGTGCATTTCGTTCCTCTTCCGTCGTTGTTGGATATATCTGGAAGAAACCTTAAGCGCTTTCTTTCTTTCTTTTCTGACAAGCTATTCACAACTTACAAATTCCTTTTATCTCTCAATTTTTTTTTATAACTGTTCTTGACAGCGTGATAAATTGAGCAAATCTACAAGGGGCCGTGATGAGGGTTCCAACTTACGCCCGGGATGATCCCAGACGCTGCCTTAAGTCGACTAGGACAAGACATGGTCAAAAGAATTGCAACTGGGAATTCCACTGACTTCACAATTGTTGCTCCCCATTTTAAATGCGCTTATTTATAGCTCTGTAAAATAAAATGCTTAACTCCCATGTTCATCCGTTCTGTGTTATTATTATTCTATGACAAAGTTAATACCAGGAATTAGAAACCTTTCATATTACCAGAGATTTAAAAACCTTTCTTTTCAAAGGACAAAGATTTAGGGTGACATGACTGAAGTATTCAGATGGACAACAGCGTATAACAAAGGAGATATAATAAAGGTAAGATAAATAGTAAGAAGATAATAAAGATAAGATATAAAAAAATAAATATATCAACACAAAATAAAACACGAAACAATGTATCATATGGACAAGATAAGTTTAGATACACAAAGTACCTGGGTAATACTAGTATGGGAATACAGAATATGAAGTGCGATACCAAATATCAGGTACCATTATAGACCTTAGATTACGGGCGTCTTTCAAGCAGAAGAGAGACATATGTATACATGAGTTTTGGTGGATATAAACAGTAGCCGCACCGAAGATAACGATAGGCCTTCTGCAGCTTCCTAATGTATTAATATGTTCTTCCTCCTCCAATGCCTATTATCGTCCCGAGACAACCATGTCAGTAATTCATTGATGACGCGCCGCCTCACTCGACCGTGAGGTGACGAGCGGGGAATATATGGCCAGGAGACGGCTGTAGAAACTTCACAATTGTGTCTTCAGCAGAAGCAGCAAGGATGAAGGTCCTCGTCCTATTGGTCCTGGTGGCTGTCAGCTCCGCCATCCCACTTCATCTGGGAAGGAGAGTTGAATATCAAATAAATGCAGCAGTTTTGCAGGATGCTGCAGTGTCCTCACCCCAAGCAGACCCAGAGCCCCACATGTCATCACAGCCACATGTCAAGTCCCAGATGTCCTTGAAGCCAGCAGACCCGGAGTTCAACGTGACTTTGCACGCAGCAGACCCAGAGTTCAACGTGACTTTGCACGCAGCAGACCCAGAGTTCAACGTGACTTTGCACGCAGCAGACCCGGAGTTCAACGTGACTTTGCACCCAGCAGACCCGGAGTTCAACGTGACTTTGCAGCCAGCAGACCCAGAGTTCAACGTGACTTTGCAGCCAGCAGACCCAGAGTTCAACGTGACTTTGCAGCCAGCAGACCCAGAGTTCAACGTGACTTTGCAGCCAACAGACCCAGAGTTCAACGTGACTTTGCAGCCAGCAGACCCAGAGTTCAACGTGAGTTTGCAGCCAGCAGACCCAGAGTTCAACGTGAGTTTGCAGCCAGCAGACCCGGATTTCAACATGACTTTGCAGCCAGCAGACCCAGAGTTCAACATGACTTTGCACCCAGCAGACCCAGAGTTCAACGTGACTTTGCTCCCAGCAGACCCAGAGTTCAACGTGACTTTGCTCCCAGCAGACCCAGAGTTCAACGTGACTTTGCTCCCAGCAGACCCAGAGTTCAACATGTCGGCGCAACCTGTCCCAGAATTCCTCAAATTGACGCAGCGAGTGGTCAGAAAGTTATTCGAGTCTGAACCATTTGTCAAGGAAGTCATTAGCCTCGGAAGGAAAACCTTGTGGGACATTGTCCTGGATGCGAGATCAGTGCATCTCTCTGAGGCATCAGTCCCCAAAACTGTCCTGGATGCGAGTTCATCAGTCCCCAAAACTGTCCTGGATGCGAGTTCATCAGTCCCCAAAACTGTCCAAAATGCGAGATCATCAGTCCCCAAAACTGTCCAAAATGCGAGATCATCAGTCCCCAAAACTGTGCAAAATGCGAGATCATCAGTCCCCAAAACTGTGCAAAATGCGAGATCATCAGTCCCCAAAACTGTCCAAAATGCGAGATCATCAGTCCCCAAAACTGTCCAAAATGCGAGGGCATCAGTCCCCAAAACTGTCCAAAATGCGAGGGCATCAGTCCCCAAAACTGTCCAAAATGCGAGATCATCAGTCCCCAAAACTGTCCAAAATGCGAGATCATCAGTCCCCAAAACTGTCCAAAATGCGAGGTCCTCAGTCCCCAAAACTGAACTCTAAGCCACACAATAATGGTCTTTATTGGTATAAAGTGCAGCGGACTTATTGAATTCCATAAATCATGTATTTTGTCTATTACTTTATGTTAAATAGTACAATAAATGTTATAAGAAAGTATTATCGTGTAATCTCCCTGATATCTTGCCTGGACCAAATTGCACTGAACTTCCAAATTACTCTGAATTTCGTCAACCAGTCCAACTACTGGATAAATAAATTTGTCTACCCAATCTATTGTTTTAAAGCATCCATTATTTTACCTAATTCTTCAGCACCCCTAATTATTCGCCTTTCTAGATAATGTAATTTAGGCTTTGGCAATCTTCTTATGACTTCTAATTTGGGGGATTAACTAGGCTGTACGCGTTCTAGTGAATTTATATCCACACTGAAGCACATCATCTAAATGGGGCCTAACCAGAGCAAGATAAAGCTGAAGAACAACACCAGGTGTCTTGTTACTAACGCTGCGATGAATAAATCGAAATCAATTTGTACATTGATTTTTTTGGTTTTAAATTCTTACTGATCACAACTCTCAGATCCCTTTCGCAATCCGACTCGGGGATTCGTAGTCCAAGGATCCGGGATCGATCTCCGGGGGAGGGGGAAACAAATGGAAAGTTTCTTTCACCCTGATGTACCTGTTCACCTATCAGTAAATAGGTACGTGGGAGTTAGACAGCTGCTGCGGGTTGCTTCCTGGGAGTGTATGTGTTATATAAAGACCCAAAGGGTCTGGCGGGCCCAAAGAGCCAGAGCTCAACTCCCACAAGCACACATACACACAGTCTGACAGTTACTGATTACGTCACTGACTGATAGCCTTTTGTTTTTAATTCTGGAGTTTGTGTGGTGAGGGGAATTCATTAAGGGAACAGCCAGCGTCATTACAGACACTGGAGACATCTCCCGTCACGCAGGGTGCAGTCGCACCTCCACAGATCTCCAGTATCATCTATTGATACTGGTAATGGCTCAAAAGGGCCACCACTTATGGGCTATTCATGCCCAAGCCACATTTTGGGTGGCTTAATCTTCTCTCTCTCTCGTCATTACAGGGTGTAAGATATGGCTTATCTATCACTGCTCTGTCTGTTGTTCACTTCCATCATGAACTCTTTCACTAGAGCCACCAGACTCTGTTCAGTCTGTTGTTCATCTCCATGATGAACATATGTATATTACAGTTAATTCGCCTGCAACTGGACTATGGTTGCAAATACCATTCGTCTTCATCTTGAAAAACATATATTAATAAATGATTCACAACACGGTTTTACATGTATCTTCATGTGTCACAAATTTGCTATCATTTTATTCCAGCATAGTTGATACCAGATACCAGTTGATAGTGGTAAGGATGTTTTGTACCTTGACTTTAGCAAAGCTTTTGATACAGTGCCACATGAAAGACTGATTAAAAAGATAGAGGCTTATGATATTGGGAGGCTATATTAAGTTGGATTAGGGCATGGCTATACCAAAGGAAACAAATAGTATAAATGGAGTTAAGGCAGAGAATGACTTATAGGAAAATGTTGTAGGTGGAGTGTCAGCAATATTTGCAAATATGCCAATGAGAAACAGGGAGAGAAATAAACTCGGATACAGACTTACTGTCACTTCAAGACGATCTAAATAGGGTTTTGAAATGGTAACAAAATTGGCGGATGCAGTTTAATGCTGACAAATGTAAGGTTTTGAGGCTAGGTAATGATGATTGAGTTACAAGATAAGAGCTAGATGGTGTAGAGATTGCGAAAGGGATCTGGGAGTTATAATTAGTAAGAAAAGTCCACACCCCAGAAGGATTCGAACCCAGACAACCAGGAGCACACACACACATATTCAAACCTATGACTGACAGGGGCAGTGATCCCCTTGACAAGTTAATATATATCTTCAGATATGAAACAGTGATCACATATGGGGGTCAAAGGGATCATACATGGGGTCACAAAGATGAGATGTGAGGTCACACGGGTCAATAATGGCGCCAGTTTTGTTCTTGCTTTACATAAATAACACAATTACAAGAGGCAAAAGACCATTATATCCAAACTAGACTGTTTACGGGAAACTTAAAGTCTTACAAACCTGAAGAGACGCCAGTTTGAGAAGAACTACTTTATAAAGTCTAAAAATATTTAGGCTTTATATTTAAAAAGCCTAAATAAATACGTTTTCACAGTTGCCCTTCAAAATGTGACAAGAATTACACTAACCTGACTCATGGACCTTGAAAACCCGACTTCAAGACCAAGTACATTGTTTCAGTTTCGAGTGAGAGTCGTGTGTCACCACCTAACTACCCCCAACGATCTCCAGAATGGTGTTTTAACAAGCTAGTGGTCGTTCGTGCTCGCCGTGAGCCAGCTAACGACCCAACCACCGTCCCGCAGACCACATTATCTGATGGGAAGGCCGGTGATTACATTTAAATGTCTCCAGAGTGTATGCACGCTAACGAGCGAGCGAGTACCAGAGCTGAGGGGTATGAGCTACGAGGAGAGGCTCCGGGAACTTCCTCACGTCCCTGGAAGAGTCCAACTCCAAGAAGGGGAAAGGGGGAGTTGGAAACGAATGGTTGTTTGGGGCACTATGAGTCCACTGCCGACCACATAAATAGTACAAATCCAATAGTGTCATTCATTGATAACGGGGACCACTTGGGCTGAACGGTAGAACGACGGACTCGCTTCGTGCAGGTCGAAGTTCATAATCAAATGAGTAAGTTAAGGAACAGTGATCACAAGGAAGTAAGGAGTGAGTTAGGGAACTAACTAACAGGGAAACACACATTTATGTGTTTATGTAATTTGTGTTTACTTGTTAGTTAACACTAAGTCTAAAATATTATTTGCCTGCATTAGTTCCTTAATGTGTTGCTTGAGAAAGCAATCATTAATTAATTCTAGAAAATTTTATGCTTCATTATTCCCTGTTCTGTTAATCCAATTTATTCCACTAAAATTAAAGTCACCCATGACACAAATACTGCTAGTGTCCTAGATGCTCTAGATATTTCCTCCCATAGATGCTTTGCTGCCATTCTGTCTAAGTTTGGAGGTCTGTTACGCCTGTATATAACTCCTACTATAATATTTCTAGCTATTTCGTGTAATTCTAGCCAAATAGTTGCTGTGTGTAGCTCATTTTTGATTCCTTCTTTCAGACTTCATTTCAAATTTTCCCCTAACATAAATGGCTACTGATTGATGAAGATTAAGCCACCCAAGAGGTGGCACTGGCATGAATAGCCCGTAAAATGGCTACTCGTCCTCCTCGTCTAATATATCTGTGAAATACTTTAAATCCGTTTATTTAATATTCAGCTAATAGTTCTGTTTTCTACATTCATCCATGTTTCGGTAAGTGCAATAATTTCTATTGTTTCTGTGCAAAAACCATGAGAATGAGACGCACACAGCCCCGCTTCTGTGCCAGGTAAGTCCACTACGGGCTCACCATAGCCCGTGCTACTTGTAACGTGTTCCGTGTAGCTGAATCTATAACAACAACCATGAGAATATCATCAGGATGCCCATAGAAAAACTATAATTGAGATAATGAGTATGTAATTGAACTTACAGAACATTGGGGATGCAATTTCTTAGATCAAATGTAGCTACGGCGATTAGACTAATGAGAGGTGGGGGAGCTAATAAATTAATCCTCTCACTTCAACACCTGGGATGAAATTAACATTATATTTTAATGTATAATAAGTGAAGATATATGAGAGCTCTATTTTCTAATGTTACAACGTACAGTATGTCTTGCAAAAATTACTTTATTGCCTAATTAGGAATTACCATCATTGTGAAAGGAATTTAAACATTAGAATATAAGAATTAAGGAAACTGCAAAGGGCCTAATGACCCACATGTGGCTGCTTCTATATATATCCTCATTCTTTATATATGTCTAATTTATAACTCATTCATATATATATATATGTCTAATTTATAACTCATTCATAAATATATGTCTAACCTACGTTTGAAACACTCAACGGATCCCACCTCTATTATGTCATCCAGTAATTTGCTCCAAATATCCACAACCTTTACCAAACCAATATTTACCCAAGTGCAGACGAGGAGTCACAATAACGTGGCTGAAATATGTTGACCAGACCACACACTAGAAAGTGAAGGGACGACGACGTTTCGGTCCGTCCTGGACCATTCTCAAGTCGATTATGAGATTGTTGATTGTGAGAAAACAATCGACTTGAGAATAGTCCACGACGGACCGAAACGTCGTTGTCCCTTCAATTTCTAGTATGTGATTTGGTCAACAAATTTACCCAAGTTTTTCCAGAATGTAAACTAATCCCATTTATATCCATTGTTTCGTGTTCCATGTTTAGTTATAGAAACCACACAATTGTGTCTTCAGCAGAAGCAGCAAGAATGAAGGTTCTCGTCCTGTTGGTCCTGGTGGCTGTCAGCTCCGCCTTCACACGACGTCTGGGAAGGCGAGTTGAATATCAAATAAATGCAGCAGCTTTGCTGGATGCTGCATTGTCCTCACCCCAAGCAGACCCAGAGTCCCATATGTCGTCGCAGCCAGCAGACCCAAGAGTCCCATATGTCGTCGCAGCCAGCAGACCCAAGAGTCCCACAAATCATTACAACATGTCTCAGAACTCGTATTGGCCTCATATGGGTCAACAGGCCTTCTGCAGTTACCTTTGTTCTTAACTCAACATTAATTAGTCTGAACCATTTGTCTCTGAAATCATTCACCTCGGAAGGAAAGTCTTGTGGGACATTGTCTTGGATGCGAGGTTGGGGCATCAGTCCCCAAAGCTGAACTCTGAGCTACACGATAATGGACTCGTTGAATCGTAATGGACATAACAAAGGGGATATTAAAAAGGTATTAAAAGTATCAACACAAGACAGAACACGAAACAATGGGTATAAAATTGGATAAGTTTGGATTTAGGAAAGACTTGGGTAAATACTGGTTCGGTAACAATGTTGTTA